CCACCGTCCGGCGCGCCCCCCCGAACTCCCGCGCTCCCCACCTCACCGCGCGCCGCCCGGCCGCCTCGCGAGACCAAAAACCGCGCGCTGCCCGAGCCGCGCGAGAGGCGGCACCGCTCTCGCGAGGCCGCTCGCTCCGCCCCCTCCCGGGACCGCCCGGAGGCCATCTTGACTGCTGGCAGGCGGAGCGGCCGCCCGGGCGTCGTTTCAGTTCAGCTTCGCCCCGCCCCGCCCCGCTCCGCTCCGCTCCCTGCCGCGCCGCCTGTTCCCCGGGCAGCTCTTCGGGCCCGCCCCTGCTGGCCGGTGCCCCGCTTCGGGCCTCAGTGCTGAAGCGGTCTTGGGCCTGCCTGTCCAGCGTGGGGCCTCCACACGCTGCGGTGAGCCCTGGGCCTGCGGGGCCCCTCGGCCGCGCTGACGGTCGTTGTTTCGGTGAACGTGCGCTTCTGGCCCTGTGGTGTACAGCCCGCCCTCAAAGAGCCGCCGCAGGCCGGTGCCGTCAGCAGCTGTCGGCCAGGCAGAGCGTGATGAAACTGCCTGGGCTTCATCGTCCTGCTTCCCTCTGGCAGCGGGAGCGGCACCGGTACACGTCTCCGGATCTCCGCTCGGAGAGTGTGGACATAGCAGAGGCCGATTGTCTCCGTTAGTGCAAGGACCGAAGTGCTTACTTGAGCACTTCTGATTTGTGCCACGAGAGGGCAGAGGAGCGCTTAAAACCCGAGTGAGAGCTGTGCTCCCCTCAACCGATGGAAAACCCTTTTCCCAAGGCATAGGCTGCGTCAAAGTAAATGTTTCTAGTGTTCAGAACAAAACCACTTTAGCTTCAGCTAAATAACACAAGCTGTCCAAATAACTTTGGGCTTATCACCTCAGATCCATTAAAAAATGCTGTGCTAGTAATGTCTTGCACTTGACTCTCAAAGGGATCACTCTTTTACGCTCCACACACATGGGGACCAGAGCTCCTGGTTCAAAAAAGACCTAGAAAGGGAGAGAGGGGGAGGAAAGGAGAAGCAGAAGAACAAACAAGTCTAGTAATAACTGAGGTGGATGGCATTCTTGTCATCATTCCCAAAGCCTTAGAGGCTGATTCTGGATGGTGTAATGTGGTTTATGGAAAAGTGATTCTGTTTTGCAAGGCATAGTTTGGAGGCTAACTCGAGACAGTTCTGCATTGATGTGAGGGAACGTTAGCAAGGAGGAATGTTATTACACCCCCTAATAAAGTTATTTTATTGGCATTGTGGCAATTGAATGCAGCCTTTTTCAAGCTTTTCAAGCTTCTGTTTCACTTGCAACTATTCTCAAGACACCACAGTGAATAAAGAAAGAAAACCTTTTCTTTTCTAACGCACCTTTCATTCTGTGGGGCCTAAAGTGCTTTCCAAACCATACTGTTAGAGTAGAATAATCACCTAGATGACAGCTGAAGTGAATCCAAGCTGGAATATGATGGTGATTTAAGTGGCTCCCAACACCAGTTGTGGGCAGGAAGCAGGGATGAAGGTGTAACTAGAACTTCAGGAGCACTCAGGAAAATGAATTGCAAAGATTTCAGCTGGGATATAAATGTTAACACCTCTACTTCTTTTAAAAAACACTGTAAGATCTGTCCTGCCCAGAAGTTCTAAGCAGCTCAATTTATATCTCTTATCCAAAGAAAATAAACCTCTCAGTAAAATACGTAATAGAATACAAATGTTCCATCTCACTCCTGTATCCACACACGTTTTGTAATATCATTAAAACCATTTTTGGAATTGTGAGACAGTGAGACATATACCACCTTACCTCAGATTATCACTTAAATCAGACAATTTTGTTTCAGCGACTTCCTGCTCTGCCCAACACCGTGTCTGTAAGCTGTTTGGGGCAGGAAGGGGTTTGCTGGTGGGTAGTGGAGTTGTGGCTCCCTGTGGACAGCTCAGCATCACGATTGCCATTCGTTTTTGCAGGGAGAGACTGTGCTGTTGTGTAGCAACCCTCACCCTCCCTCCCACCACCACCGCTGTGGTTGCATCCACTCCTGGCCCAGAACCCCCTGCTATGGCCTGCAACAGGAGAGTGGCTCTGTCAGCTTCTAGGGGAGTATTTGCCTTTGTGCCCAGGGTGTTTCTGTGTTCACCTAGTCATAATTTAGGGCTGGAATATTATTTTCCCTGTTTATTGGTAAAAGTCATCAGAAATAAATGACAGAATGGTAATTAATTAGCCATCTCTTTGGTGACATTCAGATATCCAATACGCACAAAACTTGGTGCAGCGAAAGACTTTGTAGAACATACCTTTTAAAAAAATATTCCAGGTAAATGCTAGCAGATCGGTCAGTAGTGGCTGGAGCCTGTTGCACACATACCATGGTCTGTTTTTAACATCCCACAGGCAGACAGACACTTAGAAGGGGAGTGTGCAAAAGATTCATGTCCAGTCTTGCAGACAAGGGCACTTACCCTGACTTAGCACACGTGGATAAGGTGAGGCCAACAAACATCTTCCTCCAGATCCAGCTATCACTGTGGAATGAGTAAATGTTGCTTGTCACTGCTCCTCTCCAACTGCTCTCAAAACTGAGACCTCAGTATTTTATATTAATGGTCTGAGGTAACAAGGAGAATGATCAGATCATCGTACAGATGATTATGTAAATTGTTCATGGGGTAGATTCTTAGGGGTTGGGAATAGGGCTATTTCCACTAGCAAAGGATGTTAAATGGGCAGAGCTGGTAGCACCTTCCATAAGTGTAGCAGGATCCAGAAAACAATGTGTCTCCATGGCATAAAGCTCCACTTGCTGCTTAGCCCAAGCAAAGAGGTTGTAACATGTAGTTTCTATCCAGAAGCAATTTCTTTTACCTCAGTAGTCAGTGACTTGTTACTGCAGTGCAGAAAGTCACCAGTCCATCACCTTTTGTTTCAGAAGATGAAAGTCCCTCATAACGCACCTGGACACTTATACAGTATAATGCAAGGTGCGGAGAAAGATGAACCCAGTGGCACAGAGGGGACTGGGGGAAATTACAGTGCAAGAAAGCAGATACGAGTTAGAAAAATGCAGATTGTAAACAAAGACAGTTCTGTTCTCAGGTTGGCCAAGTGGCTGCTGCTAGGTCTCAGTAACCCTGGGGTGTCACCTTTGAGATTTACTTGTCACTCTGGTATGCAATACAAGAATGCGTGTCATTTCATCATGTTCCTTGCTTGCCCAGGTTACCTAACTAATTTACTACAAACTGTAAAAGTAGTTCCTTGTACTAATTGCCCTGTGTGCTGAATGACAGGAAGAGGAAGCTGGGACTTTGAAGTAAGATGGTTTTCCCTAGATGAGAGAAGTGAGACGTACAGATTCAGGCTATTTTGCCCCTGTTTTACTCTTTCACAATATATCTAAAAGTCTTTCCTCTTCCTGAACAAATGAGAAAGTCTCCAAAGCACTGTGGCAGATAGCAGTGGCATCCCTGAAGTTTGCTCACTGATCTTCAAATTTAAATTTCTTTTTAACCCCCCCCCCCTTTTTTTTTCCTTAAAAATCAATGACCGCTAAAATGCAGAAGTAGCAGCCACAGACACCCTGGTTGCTCTTCCTGATAGTAACAACCCATACTTGCTATGGCTAAAAGAGGTATTGTAGCAGGATCCTCTTCTCCATCCACAAGCACAACCTTCAGGTGGTCAGAAATTTCAGAGATTATCAAGATCAGTGTATTGGCAAGTTTAACTAAATCTCCTGTAACTTAGAATTAAACTTCCAGCTGGGAGATGTGTAGGAAAAAAGCACTGAAGGATCTGGGGTCTCAGCAGGTAACAAGCATGCTATATATACAATAACGCTAGATGGCTGCACAGTCTCCAAGAAACTGCTGTTGCCTTCAAGTTTAATTATGTAGCTTGTGGGCCTGAAATCTATAAGGTAAGATGTGTTGATCAGTGAAGTAGAAGCATGTTTGTGTGCCAGCCCCTCTGTGTTAGTAAGCAATCAAGTTCTTTGAGATGGCAGTCAGAGCAGCAAGGTACTAGGAATGGCATTTGCTGATGGCTGAACTGAAACATTCCACCAAATAATGAGAATATCATACTACAGCGATGCAGCCTTCCTCCAGATTTGCTGTGTCTTTGTCAGCAGGAGCTGAACCAAATGCGAAGCAGCTCCTGAGATGCCCATTTCCAACCTGGCCTTTTGAGAAACCTGAAATCCCTGTAACTGCCAAGAAAAGGGTACGGTGTGCAGAGGGAGGCAGAAACCTCTGTGGCCATCCAGCTTTAATTAGCTGTATTTGTTTGTTTACAAAGACATCTTAATAACACCACCCACCATTCTGTACATCAACATCCCAAGGTTTTTTGGCATACAGCTCTCAGTTTTCTAGCTCCTGCTGCAGCATGCAACCCAGACAAGACCGAGCAGGATTAGAGTTGTCAAGGAAAAGGATTGATGGCATGATGTTATGCTTCAGCAGGTAAGCAGTTCTCTTGGGGGCCAGCATCCTTCCTTAAAAAGCTGCTGCAAAAATGACAAAAAAATCACCACATTAGTCTGACAGTTACAATGAGCTCTTAGCCTAGCGTTTGAATACACAGCTTTTATTCATGCATTGCTTAAAAGATTGCTTGTGTTTTTTCACTATGATTAGGTCTGGATGTTACAGCACTTCTGCTTGTAACTGAGCATATGACATTTGCTAAGAAATGACACTTTTATCCAGCTCATCACCTGGTCCAAATCTTTCAAGCGTAAGTTCTGTCAGCAATGTGTTTCCTGGCTTACAGTTGGGTAACTGTAGCAAAATCCTCTCCTAGTTTCTCTGCCCGTAACTGTTCGACTCTTTGTAATGATTTGTGGCTGTGCATTCACACAGGCACCAACTTCATGCCCGATGAGAAACAGCACTCATCCTGATAACCTTCTGCGCCAGAACTACAGGCTGCTCTCACTTGATGTGAATACATACTAGGATCAGAGCTTATGGCTTCCTT